ATTAGAGTTAAGATTAGAGTAGATTTAGGATAGGTTTAGAGTAGGTTTATAGTAGGTTTACAGTAGGTTTAGGTAGGCTTAAAGTAAATTTAGTTTTAAAATTTAATACGTATTATTAATTATATATATTGGTATTTATTATATTGTAATTTATTAATAAATTAAATACAACATATATGGGGACGCCCACAGCAAAAGCAGGGGATGGAACTATATATTATATAGTCCCATCCCCTGCTTTTGCTGTGGCCGTTCCCATATATGTTTATAGCATATATATTAAACATTTATAATTAATATTTTTAAATTAATAAATATTTGAGCTAAAAAAAACCTATAACGTAAAAGCATATAACCAATTTAAGACTATATCTATTATGTTAAAAAAAACTTTACGTAAAACTATAAAAAATTGAAAACATGCCTCCGGGGTATTATCCGGGTCTGAGAGCTAGTAATACACTAAAGCTAGATTGGTAAATGCAGTAATATATCAATTTCTTATACATATTCTAATGCTTTTAGAACCTCAAGCTAAAAATTTAGCAAATATCAATACTGGTCATTGTACACAAGCTACTCTATTAAAATGAGTTGCCGAAAATTTAGATCAATATTTATCAAAAATGTAAATTTATATGCATTCATTTTTAGCTGTGAACATCTTGAGAAATCCGATTACAAGCTTTTATTGTTCCATTTGATTCAATTTTCAACTCAACGATGAGCGAAAAAGGTAGAAAGCCGGGGTCCTTTAATCTACTTCCAAGGAATGGAATGTCATATTCTAATGTTGGGCATTCAATTCCTGAACAAATAGGAGCAAAACCATTGCAAATAATATCTAGATCAATGGAAGTTTCATAAACGAATCTATCACCTTCAGTAATGTTAGAAAATGTAGTCACATTCCCATCAATTAAATAATCCGCACCAATAAATAAAGGATCAGGTGTAAATGTTAGATTTAGTGTTCTAAAAGATGGTGCGTCTATAGGACATGGAGTAACTACCAATTCTCTTTTGTTCAACTGATATGGAATAGCATTGATTATAGAAAGTGTAGCAAAGAAAATGAATAACAAGATAGAATATCGGATCATGATTATAATTCTTTATAA